TCGGCTGAGGGACGTCTACCGCCCAAACGCCACCTTCTTCCAGCAGAAATGGAAGGCCAAGGCCGCCGCTCGCGCCTACCACGGGGAACAGGTCTCCGAGAAGCAATGGCAGCGCATGTTCTCCCCCCGCTTGCGCAGCGTCGTGCCCATGGCCCCCAGCAATTTGGCCCGAGATGACGGTTCCGCCATGTCGGCCGGCCGTGGGTCCGGTCTGACGAAGGCCCCGCAACCGGAAGAGATGGAGGATTTTGAGGTGTATGAGGAGGATGCCGGGGCTGACAAGCCTAGGGAGAAGTTTCGGGGGTCTCGGGCGTCTTACACGGGCGAGAGAACAACGCCTTACGTTCAAATGACGTTCGCCCCGTTGGAGCGTCGCCTCGACACGGCTATCTTCCGTGCCATGTTTGCGAGCAGCGCGAGACAGGCCCGGCAGTTTGTGGTGCACGGTGCCGTCAAGGTCAATGGCAAGCCGGTAGGTTTCTTTCTCGTGCTCGTTTTCTGATCTTCCTGGGGGGCTCTATCTGGGTCATCGCATTGGACGAATACTAATAAGGCTTCGCGCAATGGTAGATGAGATTCCCCGGCTACCTGCTCAATCCCGGCGATATGTTCCAGGTTGAACCCGAGCGCGTCATGTATGCCACCGGTGCGCCCAAAGACAAGGTGGAACGACGACAAACCCGAGTGGCCCGCAAAAAGGCGGCCGAGGAGGCCAAGAAGGCCGAGGAGGCTGCGGAGGAAGCCGCGGAGGAGGCCGAGGAGGCTGCGGAGGCTACCAAGGCGGAATCGGCGCCGTTGGAGGCCCCCCGCAAGACCCTCAGGGCGCTCATGTCTAAGGCTAAGGCCATCATGAATAGCAGCAAGGACGTGCTCCCGGCCAAGCGCAAGCAGGATCTGCGTGGATTCCAGAGAGCCGTTCGTCGGGTACTGTCCCGCTCGGGAAACAGCTCGGTTTTGACTGCCAACCTCGAGGAGCAGTTCTCCGAGCTGACGACTCTTCTCAAGGTCAAGCGCGCCGAGAAGAAGCCCGTGAAGGCGAAGGAGGAGGAGTCCGAAACGAAGGAGGGCGAGGAGGAGAAGCAGAAGGCAGAAAAGACGGAGGTGGAGGCTAAGGCTGAGGGGTCTGCTACCGAGAAGTCCGAGTCCGAGGCTGCTACCCCGAAGGCAGGCGAGAACGGCCCCATCACTACCCAGCTGTCTGAGGCGTTCCGTCAGGCCATCCAGAACCCGGAGAAAGAGGTGGACACATCGGAACTCTCGGACGAGGAGTTCGAGGTGCTGCGCCGGGCGCTCGTCCAGATGCGCGACAACCCGGTGGATAGCACCAAGCCCTATGCCACCCCCTGGAGGCCGCGTGACTACATGAGTGCGTTTGCCACGATTCCCCGTTACTTGGAGGTCAATCACAACATATGCGCTGCTGTGTATCTGCGCCACCCCGTGGCTCGTCCTGGCTTCGGTGAGGTGCCGACGCCATTCGGCGAGATGGTCAACAACCCGGCGTTTGTGTGGTACTTGAGACGGCGGTAGGTGCATTTCACGTGGGTTTTTATCCAATCATCTGTATTCTCTCTTCTCTGTTTTCTCTCCGTTCTGCGGGCCTGTTCCACAGTCTTCATGTATTACTGGGTGTCTAATTATTCGATGTGTCGGATTGGTTTCTTTTTTTTCTTTGGTTCCCCTGCATCTTGGGTGCTTATTTACAGTGTATTCCTTTTTTTTCTTTCTTTCTTTCTTTCTTTCTTTCTTTTTTATGGTTTGTTGTTTCCCCTCGATCACCAGGGGAGAGGGCAAAAGTCAATGAAGTAGCCAGGGTATTCGGAGCTAGAGGATCCCACTGTACTGTACATCATCAATACGAATATACCTCTTGAGTATCTATACTTGAGCCTCTTGAAGACATGGCGAATCGCTTGTGCCTATTGAATGCGATGAAGCGAGACGCCGTCTGACAATCACTCCGGAAGAACTATGAGGTAGCCCAGATACCAACAGCCCCTGAAAAATACCGAGTGAGATAGTTAGATAACATGCTAAATAACCACCTCCACCGCGGGGCTCTAGACCAACCCAACCGGCTGCCATGACTTAAAATTGCAGACATTTGGGTCGAATTTTTCAGAGGGGCGTAACGAGACCAAGGGTTTTTTGGGTTTTTGGCTTGGCGACTCTATCAATAATGGCATTATTAACTTATCGAATTAATTACTATTAGTACTATTAGCTTAAAGTTCTCCGCCCGCCGCAGTTGCTGTCCACGGTTCACCATCAATCTCACTCTCACTCCCTCTTCCACTCCTCTCTCTCTCCCTCTTTCCTTCTTTCTCCGCCTTTCGCCACTTTTGGGAGACTTGGAAAGCTCACTAAAACCATGTCCATGTATCCCTGGCATGGTTCAACTGCCACCACCAGTACTGGTCATCGAACGCATCCTCATCCTCAGCAGCAGCAGCAGCAGCAGCACCGACACCAACGCCAACACCTCCCACATCTTCCCCATCACACCGCGAACGCCGCCGCCCCAGCCGCTGCCGCCGCCGCCGCCTCAAATCCGCGCATTGACTCGACCTCAACCACCATAACACCCACTGCTGCTCCCCCAAGTACCTCTGCCGCGGCCCTTCAGATGCCCCAAATGCCATGGCTTCCCTCGATGATTTCCGCGCGAGCCAACCCACAGCATGCAACGCTCCCTAACTTGTCCACGAATTTGCGCTTACGACCACAGCCGACGCCGCAGCCTACTGCACTTGATACACAGCAGCAGCATCAGCACCATTCGCACCCCCACTCACTTTCTCGGCATTCTCAACAGCAACAGCAACAACAACAGCCTGTTCCTATGGTCATTGATGCACGTCAACAGCAACAGCAGCAACAACAAAAACAAAAACAGCGACAGCAAAAACAACAGCAAGCTGTCTCCATATCGAGCGAAGAGAGTGATTTCGATACCTCTGATTGCAGCGTACGACATATCACCACTGCGGACGCGTTGGGAGACCAGGATTACGTTTCTTCCGATGGGATGGGCGCGAACACAATCGCACGTGCGCGCTCACATGCTCGCGCACAGCAGCAGCAGCAGCGTCGCCATGGTCATCATCCTGTAGGTGGGGGTAATGGCGGAACCGCCAACAGCACCGCTACCGCTACTCCTTCCAGTAGTCAGCGAGATGGACCCATCCCCAACGGTAATGCGACAACAACCCGATCTCGCACTACAACTACTACCATTCTCATTGATGATCGCGATGACCTCGACCTCGATGCTACCGCCGCAGGCAACGACAGTGCCGACAACTCCCTAAACATCACCGGCGACCGTGAAGGGCCCCGCAAACACGGGAAGCGCCTGACCACCCTCGAGGAAGTCTCGCTCTTCGACATCTGCAATCGCCATGCTCACGAGTTCGGTCAGCGCAGTAACCTGTGCAAGTGGTGGATGACGGTCACGGAGGAGTTCACGCGCGACCAGGGACATCCGTACTCGTGGCACTCGGTCCGTCGCAAGGTGGAACTAGTGACCAAACAACGCATGAAGTTTCTGGACGAGCAGCGCGAGAGAGGGGGCAGTGAGAGCGATGATCGGTCGAATCTCAGATGGAGGACTGCTGTGGATGCGTGGGTTCCCACGTGGCAGAGGTGGGAGGAGGCTGAGGCGAGGCGGATCGAGAAGAGGGACTCGAGGAGGCCGAGGAAGAGAAAGGACAGAGAGTGGGAAGTGTGGGTGAACGGCAACAATGACGGGGTCAGCCCTAGCTTGGGGGCTTGGAGAGCTACGAGGAGTGTGAGTGGCAGCGGAAGTCCACTGGTGAACGTTGGTGGCGCTGCTGCGCAGGTCCCAACACCGTCGCAGCAAGCGCTCTCAACGCCGCCCGCCTCCACGCCTCAGCACACCAAAGTCCGTCTACCCCCCGGATTCGATAATATGTTCGCCAGTCAGCCGCAGTCCCAGTACCACACCCCGACTCCAGCCCCAGCGACTATGCTAGGCGGCGCATCCGGCGGCCGACCGTCTCTGGACGGGTCCCTCGCTCTACAACAACTGAACAGCACCCCATCAGGAGGCGAGGCGGGTAACGCTGAGTCGTCGTCGTCGATGATGAGTGCCGTTCTAGAGACATTGGGCAAACTCAACCGTCACCTCGACGCTGCCAATCCCACCACCACCCTACAAACCTCTTTCAAACCCTCCGAAACAACCGACAGCCGCTCACGCGCTGCCACCACCGCCGCCGCCGCCACAGCGCAGCAGCAACAACCACAACAACCATCCCAATCGCAACCCGACACTAGCTCGAACCCCGACGACCCCCCCTCGCCCACCCAAGCCCCGAAAATGTCCCAAGTCTCCTCCCTCCCGATCCCAACTCACCTCATCGCCAAGCTCAAAACCGAACTCCGCGAGGAGATGCGTGAGGAGATGCGGTCCGAGCTGGCCAAGGACCGCGCGAGTCTCGAGGAGAAGCTGGACTCGGTGCAACGGACGCAGGAGATGATCTTGGAGATGTTGAGACAGGAGCCGTCTTGACTTGCTTTGTCTTTCCTGTTCTTTCCCCATTTATCACGTCATACTCATACCCTATATATTCCCTTGTTTTGTCTTCTTCTATATCGTGATATATTTGCATATGATACCCACTGGTCTAGAGCAGCGTTGTCTGTTTGATTGTGCTCGGCCAGCCTTTTTATGTGTCGCTTCAGTTTCCTTGCTTCTGCTACCTTTCCTCCTATATACATACACCTATATATTACCTTACCCTTCAAGATACCTGAATTATACATTTAATCCCGCTGGATGGTTCACCAAAGAACCATCCACTCAAGAAGTCCTATATCTCGTCATGAGCCTCACTCACCAAACCAAGATCAAAGTACGAAACATCGCAGTCTATATTGCCTCCAAAAACCTAGAACACGGTAGTAGGTATAGTATAGCACGCAGGAAAGGAAGGCAGGCCCCCAGCGAAGCACGAATGAAGTCAAAAAGCAACAATAAAAAAAGTAATGATAATTCCCGGCTAAATTACATAGTTTGATAACAACCATTCCATGAGAGCTTTGTGTATGAGTGAGATTGTGTGGGAGGGTTTAAGATGCTTTGTGTCAGAAAGAAAAAAAAAAAACAAGAATCGTAGCGGGAATGCCGATCTTGTTTCTGTTTTTTCTGGGTCATTCCCCCATCACGCAACACCATCATCCTTGAAGTGTTTCCTTCATCACCAGCGGATATCTCTTTCTCTCTCTCTCCCCTCTTAACTTTCTGTCCTCTTCCCCTCGTTCCTTTTGCCTACAACCAATGGCTAAACTGAAGACGGAGAAAAAAGAACTTTCTAGTAGTAGAAAGTCTCGTCGACAGTGCGGCCTCTCATCCAGCGGGGCTCGCTGCCACGGACGTAGATATCCTCGAAGAGGATGCGGGAGTTGCTGTCGGGGACGGGCATCTTCTCGGCGATGGCGACCTCGGAGTCGACGTGGGTGCGGGCGGCCTTGTCGAGGGCCTTGAGCTCCTCCTCGGTGCAGACGCTCCAGTCGAGGATCTTCTGCTTGAGACCGGCGATGGGGTCGTGGGTGCTGCGCATGCGCTGGATCTCCTCACGGCTGCGGTAGGTGGTACCGGGGTCGGACATGGAGTGACCACCGTAGCGGTAGGTGACGTACTCGAAGACGAGGGGTCCGTTGCCGGAGGTGGCGTACTCCTTACCGTACTTGACGGCGGCCTTGGTGGCCAGGACGTCCATGCCGTTGACCTTGATACCGGGGATGTACTGACCGCGCTTGTAGTACTCGGTCAGGGCGGAGGAGCGGGCGGCGGAGGTACCCATGCCGTACTTGTTGTCTAGGGACGAATTGTTAACAGTAGTTCTTCTGGGAAGGGAAGGCAAAACGTACTCTCACAACCGAACAGGGCGGGCAAGTTCCACAGCTTGGCCATGTTGAAGGCCTCGAAGACCTGACCCTGGTTGGAGGCACCATCACCGTACAGGATGATACTGGTGGCCTTCTGGTTGTTGTACTGCTGGGCGAACGCCAGACCGGCACCGACGGGGACCTGGGCACCGACGATACCGTTACCGCCGTAGAAGTTGGGGGCGAACATGTGCATGGAACCACCCTTGCCGTAGGCGATACCCTCACGGCGACCGAGCAGCTCACCAATGATGGAGCGGACGGTACCGCCGCGCATCATGGCGAAACCGTGGCAACGGTAGGCGGTGATGATCTTGTCGTCGCGGGAGATAGCGTGCTCGATACCGGTGGCGACGGCTTCCTGACCGGTGGACAAGTGGCAGAAACCTCTGATCTTCTTCTCCTTGTAAAGACGGTCGGCGGCCATTTCCATGCGTCTGTTCCAAAACTCGTTAATAAGGGAGTTGATGCGAGACAGAGGGCACCCGTAGCAGCATACCTCATGGCAACCATGTCGTAGTACATCTGCTTCAGCTCCTTCTTGGTGATCTCCAGGGTGTAGGGAGGGGGATCGATCTCGTAGGTCTCGAAGCTCTCGTCGGAGAGACGGACGGTGAAGGGCTTGTCATCCTCCTAAAGAAACAGTTAGCTGGATGGGGAAAAAAATCGGGATTGAGGACGAAGCATTGAGGTCCCATCGGTTCACTGGGAGGCGCGTCTTACCTGAGGGACGTTCTCAGCATGCGCCGAGGCAGCGTCGGTGGTGACGGAGCGACGGGCAACGGGGGCAAAAGCCTGACGCCTCAAGGGGGCGGCTTGACGGGCCGCAGCACGGAACAACATGATGGATGAGAGGCAGCGGAGGACAGCGAGATGCTGATGAAGGTGAACGAACAGAGGGAGAGCAGTGCTGCTGTTATCTTTCAACAAGCCGGATATGTTGGGAACAAACTTTCCCCTGCGACTAGGCGGAATTCGGCAGGCACGGATTAGATAAGCATCCCTTAGAGGCCGTCCGGTGTAGCAGTTGCAAACCGAGCAAACTGCTCCGAGCGACTCGGGCGATCGATTATTGTAGAGTGTTGAGGTGCTACAACTATAGTTGTACTATACCGGCAACTACTTGTTTTCCCTCTGAACACGAATTCTATAGTGATGACTTCAGGAGTCATATTCTAATAGATTCTTAGCAGCTATTCAGTCATGCCCGCCGTCACCTTTTCCCATGACTTGTCGCGGTCAACTCCATCACTCCGGGCGTCACCGCCGGAGCCTTGGCAGCATCGGACTATGTTAGCCCCGAACTCCTCCCTTGAGTCTGGTTAAACATTGAAGCTAAAGTGACTTAGGCTGACGGTGTCGAAACCACAGAACTGTTTCTGGGCGACGATAAACCTTTGGAATATGAGGTGAAGCCAAAGGAAATTTGTGGCCGTGGCTCAGGATCTGTCTCCAGATCGACCGCTCGTGACTCCGTAACTCAGCCTCGATATATAAAATTTTACCATTCGGGGACACACCGTCTGTGCATGGGACTACAGAACACCTTGATCACCATCCAAAACTTCACCTCTGGCTGCTTAAGTGGTCAGTGATCTAGACTTCATCTGTACCACTGTTCGCAAGATAAAAAGTATAGCTACTCTAGAGCTATTGCAACATGCATACCTTCTGTTGAACAGGTGCTGAGCGTTGTACCCTTGCCAGCATGATCCCAGTCGTCTTCGACCATATACTCGAATGACAAGGTATGCTTACCTATGAAAAAGAACCTTGTCCATGCTCCAACTTCCTCCGACATCATTTTCTGTTGGCACCGTCGAGGCAGATCCCGCCTTGACATTTTTGCCCCCGTGACGGGAGCATGGAAAAAAGCAAGAAGACAGAATCTCACCACGACATGCATACCACAAAATAATATTGGGTCGTGGCGGTGCAACTGTCGCCGATTGGCCATAGGTTCAGTAGGACCGTGGAATGAAGTTCTTGCTTTTTCTGAGTCTTCATACCCCATTGAAGTCTAGCTGGGAGCGCCACGCGAAACCGTAAGCGGCAAGCTGGGGAGGTCAGCAATGGTGTGCATGGGGTGCACGTTGGACTATGCTGACATGCGTCCGGGTCCCAACAGATGAATTGTTTGCTTGTATGTTAATCGGAATTTGAGACAAGGGTATTGTTCCTTCGAGCGTTGAAAGATGATATGTAGTGATGCTAAGGCCATCCTGGCTGTGTACCTGGGCTAGCATAGCTGTGGGTGTCTTAATTCCTGTCGCGCGATAACCGATACCTCGATTTCCCTGGGGCAAATAGAGGCCAGAGATTTGACACCTGCGTCACCTGTCTGCTTTTTCTAACGTTGCATGGCAGCAACGCACACCAAGATGTCAAGAACGGGGACAGGTAGGTATAAATCTGATGCTTCGAATGCTTCATCGTCCGTCCTGGTGGGTCCTGGGGCTCCAGATCAGCTTACTCCATGCGGATATTTAAGCGACCACAACCACTGCATCGGCACGAACATCAGCCAGAAATTCGGGCAGATCCCGAATGATCGCTCAGGGTGGGCTGCACCTTAACAGTACCTAATCTGGAAGCGCAGGACACATTGAACACCGTCCTCAGACTTGCCTCGATACGGTAATTGTGTTCAGAGCCCTTGAGGTCGTTGATCAGTTGGTGATCGCAATACAAAAAGGGGCGAGATCTAGGGTAATCATGTCAGCCTAATGCGACTCCTTGCTATTGAGGCATTTGCCAAACTATTCAATGCTTTTTATTATGCGCCGACGTGCTGCTGTTGACTCGCGCAGCTCGACTGCGCCTGTTCTCGTATCGTATGTGTAAATAGGCAGTGGGGGGACCATCGCTCGTCCGCAAGTCCCCATAGTTCGTTGTTATTAATATCTAGCCCACGTTTGAATTCTCGTTTCCCTTCGAAACGTGGCAGCGGGGTGGATAAGCCCAAGACTGGTATCAGTGATACTGTTCGTGACAGTCACAGAGGGGGGCTTCTTGCATGGGGCCTGACAATTGGAAATAGTAATCAACACTCGAAAAGGCATAGTCCTGGAAGACCTTGTTCTAGCTATTTTTGCGCAGCTTCTGGAGCGTTTCCTGACGAGCAATTGAATGGAGCTCTTGAGCAGGGATAAGTCCTGTTGGCTGTTCGGGGCTGCGCTTGCCAAAACCTCCTAGTTTTCGGGTCAGTGATGTGCGTAAGTATTTTGTGGTTGTAGATCTTATTACAGAGACACAAAGACACGGCACATCGCAGTACAAATCCTCTTTTCAGCTGTGAACAGAATCGCACTGCTGATCCGGAAGATCGAGGTCGAGTCGGACCTCTGCTAGAGTGTAGTGTAGCAGCCAAGTGCATGACTCTCTCACGGTTCGATTTCGCGGGACTAAAGAGACCTGCCTCTTCTGGACCATGTCCGACGATAGTTCATCGACTACTGTCTCAAGGTTCGGTAGATCGCGAGAAGTTTCAGACCGGGGGAATTCTAGAAGAAAGCAGAAGAGTGCGATTTGTTGTGTTCTGAAGCCGGAAAACTTTCATGACTCTGGTGGGGAATCGTAATCGCATTGCTTCAGTTAAAGTTTGCTTAGTTGGTTAGTCCTCGCTAGTTCGGGTGGAAATGGTCACAATTAGCCTGCTCGGGTTGTATCGAGCGGTATGGTACGGCCGCGGGTTATTGAGGGAGATTCTGGATGCAAAATTCGAAGAGAGGAGGTACGGAGTATTCGATTGTCCCTCTGAGAGTCTTCGAGACCATCGTAAAATGGGGATTGTGGATGACATCACGCATAGCATTGATCCGATGAATGTCTGCTGGGAGATAGGTGTATCGCAACTAAATCTCAATGGGAAAGCACCGGGTAATTCCAAGTTCGGATTTATTGTAACGAGTATAGTATAGATCGATGATACTGCGAAACGGAGCACTACCCCAAGAAGTGCAATCCCCCCCCGGAGTTCCGAGGAACCGTTCCCTGCTAAAATTAATTAGTCTGACCTTCAGAGTATCAGGCTATCAGCAATTCAGCAGTGAAGGGTGTATGAGTGCCTAGTCATCGCATTGACCACTACAAACCCATACCTCAGAATTAATTATAGTACTATCGATAAAGGGGCGTGATCGAGGCCTTCCACTGCCTGTGGACATACGCACAGTATGCGCACTCAGAACCAGTCAGTTGGGACCGAGGTATAGACTGAAATAAGGCACCTTGAATCACATTCGCGTCAATAGATTGGCAAGGCACATAGAGGCGATCCGATGATGAACCGATGCTCAAATCCCGCAGCGAGGCGACTTACTCAAGTATCTACACAGCGACCTGCGGAAGATCGTCGTTGCAAACCCACTGATCGATGGAGTCACCTTGCGTGAGGCTCAGACTATGCGATTTATTGGTTCCTCGACAGCCTTTCTGGGAAGGTGAATTGGCCGAAGACGCGGAGGGCAGCAGACAGACGGACGGAAATCCCGCCTTATCCTGCGATGCTCAAGCTCTCTGCAGATAATCCATCAATCCATCTGCAGTGACTACATGACGGCCTCTGTAAATTGGCCATAGCGGGCGGATGGGGAGTGATCGGTTCCACACATCATAATTACTCAAGTACCTTCTTTGCAGCCCTCGTCCATGACAGGTCGCATTTGAGGAGACGACCTGACAACACGATCGTGTTCAAACCAGGCATATCTGGCTCGTACACTACTCTTGTTGCGTGATACACCTGATCGCCGGTCGGAATGTATCGCAGTTCATTGTCCGGGGCCGTGCTACCCGGACGGTCGAGATTGACTCCCAAAAAGTGGTTATTAGGCGGGTTTCACGATTGTTTCAACCCCCTTTGGAAGACAAGGATATCTACTTCACTCTGCGCCATATTGTCAACGGTAATTCCAGGGGCCGCTTACATGAACCTGTCGGAGATCATGGTTGGCTAAAGCGGTAATTATGGGTTGTTGGCCATATTGGCAGCGCGACGGACTTGCTCTATTCAAGGATGGTCGCTCCGGTAGTTTCTCCCTCACAAGTGGAGTGGAGATGGTCTGCACGGAATGTCCGAGACTGCCGTTGCTTCAGGTGGTTAATTCCAGTCAATCGTACTTCTGTTAAGCACCTCCGACTGCGCTCAATTGTCGGGTCGATGAGCTGGGCGAGGCGACATCTGACCAGTCCAACGCCTTTGACAGTGGAGATGAAAGGAGACAGTAAGTTAGTGGTGGTGGTGGTGGCTACTGTCCCGACCACTTCCGTCCAGTTACCCCCCTTCTCAGCTCGTGCATGACTAGTCACTCAATGAATTCTGGCGTCTGTGCATATTGTTGAAATCCGGGTTCTGGGGGAGCAGAGATCTGAATCGTGGGGCTCCAGATGAGATACGGGAGAGACGATCCATCCTCGATACAGTACGAAGTACGGAGTACTGAATGAATAGACGGGCGGTCGGCATCTGGCAGAGCAAGAGTCAGCCGAGTCGGCCGGCTGGTTCTCGAAGGAACCGACCGAGGAAGAGTTATGGAAATCGGTTGGAGTAGGCTGGCAATAGATGAACGATGCCGTCAAGTGATCCTTGACAGCGTTCCAACCTTCCATCGAAGCCAAACGTTATCGCTGGCCCTACCGTTGTCGAACAAGCACGCGTGCTTTGCCACTGGCGACCCACGGTTGACCATAATGGTGCAAAGATTTGGGCACAACGGCAACGTGATACATTGGCAAGACCCCGATGGCTATGCCCTCGTCTCGGGAGAAATACGTTTGGCTGTACCATGGTCTATGCCGTAGGTACGGAGAAGGTAGACTCGGGTTACGTTCAGGGCACTGAGAGGAATCGCCATTGCCAAGACGGTCGCGGGGACTGCTTGCACCGCACCGAGTTGATTCACCAACCACCTCGTGTCGACAAGCACCCAATTATGCTTTGAACTGTGGTGTGTTGTTACGGTGCACAGGGCTGCTTTTTGATTTAAAGTTTACATCTATCAAGTTGGAGGAATGGAGAGGTCAAGCATTCTCCTCCTCCACCTCCAACAAGGTTACCGCACCGATAACACACCACCGATAAAGTCGTCCTATGGTTCGGATCAGACGATCATCCAGCAAAGCCGGAAGGGGGCCGATCATCCGTGGGCTGGACAGCGTTCCATGGCAGCCTGTGGCCGTCCTTGAATTTCTATAGGATTTCGGCTGACTGGGGGCCGAATCCTCACGCTGTAGGGCAGGAGGAACGGAGGGTGTATGCGTTTTTGTATGCATTGGTATGCATTGGACCAAGATGGGGATGAGGGCGGAGGCGGAGGCGGACAAGCATTGCTGCGCCTACGAACGAACGAACGAACGATGGTCCAAGTGAACAACTTGTAGTCCATGCACTAAACCTTACCTTTAATGCTTACACAACTAAATTAGTCTGGTAAGTTACCAGGTCTTTCTCTCATGTCTCATGCCAATGGTTCTTTGACCACATTGCAGACATCGACGACATGCTTGGCTCCTGATCCCTGAGGGACCGTACCAAGCTACAGACCATCAGCGTACCTTAGTTCGCCTCTCAAATTAATTGCTTGCCGCGCTTCAATTGCGGTCGGAAAGCAAGTGTGGAGAGAGAGAGAGCCGATAGATTGATTACCTATGGATTGATTCCCCGCATGGTCGGATTTTTGGACTGAACCCAACAGTCAGGTTCCGGTGGATGAATCATCCGCCAGGGTGCAGATTAGAGAATCCCTAGTCTCCAAGTTATTCAGTCAGTCAGTCAGGCAGACAAAGAGGAACAACCAAGGCAACCTACTAGTCGGTTATTCTTATCCTCGGAAGAAAGTGGTGTGAGTGTCTGTCTGTGTCCCCTTTTTTTCTTTGACGGTTCAGACATTAGGGGGTGAGAGAGGGGGAACAATTGAGAGAGTTGAGACTAGGGGATAGGGACCGAGTAGGTTTAGCGTCTGGTTACAGTACGGTAAAGTATACTAGGTACCTTCAATACAGTAGTACCTTAGTCTTCTAGTCTAGCCATGCGGGTGGAAGTTCACCCACGGTGGGGATCCCGCTGTTATGCAGCAACCACCACCACCACTCGTTGGTCGGTGGGTTACGTACTTAACCTCTTTCTAAACACCCTAACAGTCCTGCCATGCTTTCCCATGGGTCAACCCTTCGACACTAGTTTACAACTTCGACTCAGGAACTCAGGAGAATCACGCCGGAGATGCTGCTTTCCCACTCAGTCATCCAGTCACTCAGTCACCCAGGAGACCTGACAGAAAACGCTCAGGGATCGACAACCCACCGCGCATTGTTGAGGTCAATCGTTGCTGCATTGTGCAAGAGTATCGACTGGAGTCCCGAGGATCCTTATAACAGACTTCGATAGACATCGTCAGCTCTGCATGTCACCATTTCCCCAAGGTCTATCTATCTACTCCGTATCTATGGCAGCCTTTGGAAGGCAGCAAGACGACCGATGAGGCGCATGACGGACCCCGATAGTGGCGACCTGCAGACACTAAAAACCCGGTCGTGGCTGGATGATGAACAAGACAAAATCTCCGAGGGTACGGAGCTGATAGATGGAATGGACATATCCAGGCTATGGGAAGAGAACCACGGACATCCCTACGTCCTTAGCAAGGCAATTGATAGTCTGATATCAACTGATCCCTGCCTGCCTTCCTGCCTGCCTGCCTACCGGCTTACTTGGTTGGTTCTCTTCAGGTTTTCAAGTCTCTAGGGATGGGTTGAACTGGGATGATGAAGATAATGTCGTCCTTACCTCGCATATGTCCGTCCGTCTCCCGTTTGCCGAGGACCCCAGGAAAGTGCCAGTGCCGGACTATACCGATGCATATTGCATAATGAGTCTATAGGGTTCGTGCGATTTCACCTTAATTAAGACCGACGGACGACCTTTGCTCAGGCAGTTAGTATGTCTTCAGGGGCAAACCATATAGAAAGGTGTAAACTTTGTTAATGAGGATAGGAATTGGCACGGTAACCGGACGGTATCAAGTCCCTGGATCTGCCCCACAGAAGTGGGCTTAGTGAGTCTGTAACATCCATGGCTCGGCTGCCAATTGCCCCACTCAAAGCCTAGTTCGGTTCTTTTTTTCTGTTTCCTTTCTTTGCTTTTTCCCTGTTCATTATACTTCTTCTCATTTATTATTTTTTTTCTTTTCTTTTTTTTTTTTTTAGAATTATTTTTTAGACTTCTTTACCATGAATTGATTTCTTCCCGGGGGCCGCAACCACGGCTCATTTGCAGTACCTGCAGCCTTTCCAGTGGTAAGAAAGCACCTCTGTAGAATTGTGCGAGGGAAAAAAAATGACGCCAGGAATCCTCAGCAGAGAAGACGACCAGAAAATAAAAAAAAGTATAAAATAAAATAAAATTAAATAAAACAAAATGGACTGATACCGATACAGTCTGCGTACTGAGTTCTCCGGTAGAAGTGGGTTATCAATGGCGCCGTCGTAAAATTATTCGCACCATCACGATATCTCCAACTTGCACCTCCTCTTTTCCCTTCGTCACTCTCTTCTTAGTTTTCTTCCTCTCTTGATAATTTTCCTTCCCCTCTCCGAGGTGACCCTGGTGTTTCCAACCTTTGGCTCACCAACTTCTCCAGGCTCTGGTCTCATCATCATCATCATCATCATTATCGGGGGCCCTTTTTTTTTTCTGCTTCAGAGTTGCTTCTACCCCCACCAGACCTTCTTCCGCCCCCCCACTT